GCGCTAGAGCGCTAGAGCGGCCGACTGGGATGGGGCCGTGACAAAGGGAGGACCAGGGCTGCCCGCAGGCACGCTTTGTGCAGACCCGGGGACGGGCCGCCGGGCGCCTCCCGGAAAGGGGAAGAGAGCGGGCACATGCAAATGGACGGGGACTGCGTCCCTGGCAGGGTTGAGCCTCGGAGCGTGGCGACGGGAAATTCCCTCCTGGAGGAAGTCGGCCGCTGAGGGTAGATCTCGAGTGTCTCCTTAAGGAAACGATTTTGTGTCTGCGGTGCTGGGGATCGAACCCAGCGCCTTTGCCCTAGCCTGTTTCTCCAACCTTCTTTCTGAGTTTGATTTACTTACGCGTGCTTTTGGAGGCAGGCTCTCCCTGTATAGTTCAGCCTGGCTTTCAACTGCTGTAGCCCAGGCCAGCCTCAGAAAAGCCTCACTGCAATCTTCCTGCCTCAGTCTCCCCAGTGCTGGGGTTACAAGCATGCGACACCACGCCCATCTATGTTTCTTATTTTGTGACTGGGTCTGGCTCCTTCACTAAATTGCTCAGGCTGGGCTCGAATTTGTGCCGCTTGCCTCATCTGGGATTAAAGGCTTGGACCACCAGGTCTGTTTCTCCCTCTTTTTTTTTTTTTTGAGGCAGGTTCTCACTGTGTAATTGAGGCTAGCTTCGAATTTGAAGCAATCCTCCTGCCTCAGCCTTCCCAGTATTGGGATTACAGACATGCACCACCACACTCAGCCTGTTTTTTTCATCGGAACAGACTTGGTGAAGGATGTTCAGGAAGATTAATTTCATAGTTGAAGAAAATGAGGTCCAGAATGCTGAGCTTACTATCTCACCCCAATCGCCTTTTTTCTTTAATAGCTGTTTTTATACAGTACACTAGGGTAGTTAAGGTCTTCTGTGGATGAGTCTCTATATTCAGTTCACTTAGTAGCATCTACTGTAATCCCTTCTGTGTAGAGAAAGGCACCTTCGTTTCCAGGACTTGAGTTTATTATTTATTTTGTTAATTTGAGTTAGGGTCTTGCTGTGTAGTTCATGCTGGCCTTGAACTTGCTATGTAGCCCGGGCTGGCCTCAGGTTCCCAAGTGTTGGGATTACAGGTGTGCGCCATCAAACTAGACTACATTACAGTGTTTTAAAACCAGTGTACTTCTTGGTTTTATATTGTTTTTGTATTTGAACTATATCTAATAATTTAACTTTACATCACGATGCACTTCAGACAGAACTGTTAAGTTTTGAGACTAGGTCTTCAGAGTTGATTTGTTGGTACCATAGACTGAACTCGGGACCTTGTGCCTTTTGGGGCAGGCAGCGGAACCACTGAGTTAAATCCCCAGCCCCAGAGTTAATTTTGAATTGAATGGCTTTTAGCTTTTTTCTTTTTTTTTTGGTACGGAGATCGAGGCAGGCCCAGTGCCACTAAGCTAAATACCTGCCCATTTTAGCTTGTTTTTTTTTGTTGTTGTTGTTAAAGAAATGTACAGATGCTTTTGAGCATCAGTTTGTGTGTGTGTGTGTGGGGTGTTTGCAATCAGAAGAAACACTGCACATCTTTTATTTGGGGGGGGGGAACAGGGTCTTGCTATTCATTCTGGCCTCAAAAATTTAAGGCTGTCCTCCTGCCTCAGTCTCCCAAGTTCTGGGAATACAAGTATGCACTACCACAGCTGGTTGCACATCCTTTTAAAGAGATTACAAATTGAGAAAATTTAATATTTGTGTTTCTATTTACCAACTATTTCCCTTCTTACTAGAAAGCACTGATAAAACGATTAAAACATTGTGTGCCCCAATTCTTAACCTTTGTTGATGTTGCCATAAAGAACAGATTGCTCTTGCCGGGCGTAGTGGCGCACGCCTGTAATCCCAGCACTCCGGAGGCTGAGGCAGGAGGAGGATCACTGAATTCGAGACGAGACCAGCCTGGGCCACGTAGTGAGTTCCAGGTTCAGTCTCAACTACATAGTGAGGCCCTGTCTCAACCCCTACCCCCCAAAAAAATAGATTGCTTTAGAGTATAACATGGTTTTATTTGAACTTGCCCTGTGTGCTTGTTCATTTGCATTTGGAGATAAGATGTTTCATTAGCATTTTTATTTAATACTAAAGTATTACTAAATGTTAAAACACTGTGATGACATTCAAACTAAATTTATCTAGCTATTTTTAGTGCACCAGAAAAAATACATCAGAATGAGATTACTTTCCTTCTTAACCAAGTCAGAATTTTATTACTATCATTTTCAAATATTAAAAAATACTGTACTGTTTTGGCCTCATGCAAATGGTTCTCATTTGGGTGGGAAAAGGAACACTGATTATTTCCCAGATGGTCCCTGAACTGATTGATCGCTTATGCATCCATTTGTCAAGAACGATTGGATTGGAGCGATTGAAGTGATAAATGTGGGCTCTCCCTAGGTCCAGCCAGGTTACTTCTGTTGTCGTTGGTGCCTTTCAGACCAAGCGACTCAGGCTCAGTTTGGTGTTTGTGCTTGGTAGTGCAGTTCAGGAACGGGAGGAGACATTGGCAGTGTTTGCTCTTGGCCTGCTTTAAAGCAGCTCTGTTTGCGTTATGGATTTTTTAGAACTTGTGTTAGTACTTTGCATAGGAGGTAAAAGGCACGAGTTAGGGTTACATTTTCATAGGCTTATAATTGTATGTGGTTCTTTGGATGAATGAGGACAGTGTTAAAAGATGTAGTTTAATACAAGCCTAAGTATGTGGCTAAAATCACTTTGCTTTATTTTTGTCAATTTAATGAAACTGCCTATATAGTCTTTTTACATTCTGCAAACTTTTTTTTTTTTTAAGGTTGCACTCTTCATTTAATTACATGTGCTTTTCCATCACCTTAGGTAAAGCTTTTCTGACTTTATTTTTTTGGTACGGGGGTAGGGGGGTGTCGAACTCAGGTCCTCGCACCTGTGAGGCAGTCGCCAGAACCACAGAGCTAAATCCCCAGCCCTCTTCTGACTTTATAAAGAGGGTAATTGTAAGAGTAGGCAGGTCAAAAAAGAAAAGCCCTCCCCTACCCCCAGTCAGTTGTCCACAGTTAGTGGAAAAACCTATACTGTCCTTCCAAAACGGAGTTAAATTTAGATTCAGCAGCTGGAGTCCCAGTTGTAGTTGGTGATCCCTCTGGCAGCTAACACAGTTTATATTTTTATATTTCAAAAAACAGCTTTCTGATTGTTTTTTGTTTGTAGACCTTTATCCTGCCTTATTTGGGAAGCCTGAGTTGTAAGCTAGGTGAGCAGTTTAAGAGCTAGGAATAATACACTGAAAAGCTTGTGTTACAAAGCTAAAAGCACCAGTGGCTGGGTGTGGTGGGGCACCCCTATAATCCTAGCACTTGGGTGGCAGAGGTTGGAGGATCCTGTGAGTTAGGGGCCAACCTAGGTTACATAGTGTGACCACATCTCAACAAAAAAGCGAATGGCAATACGAAATTTTTTTGTTACAGGCTTTGCCCTAGTAAACGGAATCTTTAGATTTTTATAATGATGCTTTTTGGCATATATGCTGTATTTCAGTTTTTTTTTTGGTACTGGGCATTGAACTTGGGTCCTTGCGCTTACAAGGCAGGCCACTGAACCGCTGAGCTATATCCCTGGCCAATATATGCTGTATTTTAAAGTTTTAATTTAAAAATATAAAGATGAAAGGTGATTCAGAAATCTGCGTTTTGGACATGTGTGCTTTGTAGAGAGATAAAAATTTTTTTTGATACCAGGGATCGAACTCAGGCCCTTGCCCTTTCAAGCAGGTGGTGGAACCACTGAGGTAATCCCCGGCCCTGTAGAGATATAATTTTTGTTGGGTATTTAAGTGACTGATAGTGTCACCATGTGGTTGTATAATCTTTTGCATGTTTTTAGGTTTTTTTTTTTTTTTTTTTTTTTTTTTGAGTGGTCTTAAACTCACTCTGTAACCCATGGTGGTCTGGACCTCATGATAATTCTCCAGCTTCAGCCTCCCTTTTTTTTGTTTTTTTGAGACAGGGTCTCACTATGTAGTTGAGACTGACCTGGAACTCACTGTGTAGCCCAGGCTGGTCTCGAACTCACAGCGATCTTCCAGCCTCAGTCTCCCGAGGGCTGGGATTACAGGCATGCGCCACCACGTCCGGCCAGCTTCAACCTCCTAAGTGCTGGAGTTGCAGGCATGTACCACCAAGCCTGGCCTGTTTATCTTTTTAAATGCTCTGGATTGAACACAGGGCCTAAGGTCATACTCTCCAGCAGGAATTTTCTCAGATTTGTTGTTGTTGAGACAGTCTTTCTATGTTATGAAGTATGGGCTGGCCCTGTCCTCACAGAATAGCCCAGACTGAGTTTGAGATTCTCTGCCTCAGCCTCCTGAGTGCTGGGATTATAGGTGTGAACTACCATGCCCATCTAACTTCACTGATTTTTGTACTGAAGTATTTTTCTTTCAGAAAAACAGTATTTTTGAGATAATAGTCTTTCAGAACTTAAAAAAGAGTGTAACAGAGAGGTCATGTGTATCCATTATCCAGCTTAAATGTTTGTATTTTATATTACACAGTACATGTAAGATTGATAAGTCATATGAACTGAATGACAGACTGAGTTTCCTTAGGTTTTC